TCGTCTCTCCAGCCCGTATCTCTCTCACCCCGAGTCGACTCTGTTCAGCGCCGCTTCAATTGACCCTTTTGATTCTGAATTCAATGTCACTATTTTCTAATACCCGAATAGTATGGTCGCGACACCAGCCGAAGCAACAGGGTTTTACATGCCTGCCAGGTGGCGTCAACCTCCCCGGCCAGAGGGTGTATAAGAATTGAACTCAAGTAAGATAACAGTAAGCCGAGACAATGATCATGAGGTAAACGTATTGGGACGGGTAGCAGGTACAGTTGCTTTCGTGGTTAGGGTGGGTATGAGTGCGGAGCAGCTAGGTAACTTTTGGGTTAGGGATAACTTAGTCTTAGTCGGAGCTTATATCATCATCTTGGCTTATTATCATCTTTCTTGGAATCTTTGTATAAGTACCGCTTGGCCGGGCCCGCTTCCCCACGTGACGATCTTGAATCGGTTGTCTGTTGTTTTTCCGAGCACGGACAAGTATGACGTCGACCGTCGGACGTCAGCAAAGGTTCCAATCAACTCAACCGTGAGCACGCCCATTTGTGCGCGAGGTACGATATAGGCAACACCCACCAAAACATCCAATCTGAAGTGTTTTGGGCAGACTTGATCATTTCTACTAGACTTTGCCCCCACTTTGCCGGCCGCGAAGTTTGCCTGCTTTTTGGTCGTCTTTTTGTCGTAATGCTGTCTTGTTTGCTGGGGGCGCGCTCGAGTGTGAGTAGCAACGAATGCCTAGACAGCCTTGCACTTGTTTTACCAAGATAGCTTGGTATGCGCACTACTAAACGAGTCGTCGCGAGCCCGTGGTTCTCAAGATATAATCAGCATCGGCGTGTACCAAGTAGCCTGACCGGCGGGCCCGAGCCGTCGGAATGAAGCGCGCTCGTCAGCATGCGCTGATGCAGTATGTGCACTATCGAAGCTAGCACATACTAACCAAGTTTGCGTCAAGCTGCCTGGCATGCTTCACGAGATGAAATGTTTGTCGTCTCTGATCGACAAGAATGACCAGAGCTCGTTCTGTCAAAACTTGAAGGCTAGTAACATGCCGGCGCTGCAGCTGAGTCCGCTTATACTAGGCGCGGGCAGCTGTCAGGTCACTGCAGTGATATGCGCGCATGCCTAATGATCGAATGATCCGCGAGCCGGCAATCCAGGGTGCATGCAATCAATACATGTGTTATTCTAGATTTCCGTGCCACTTAGTAGCTTTAACGGGGGCCAGCTGCACTCAGATCTATATTAATACCTCACTCGAAACTGCTTTCAATCATGCAGTGCCTGTCCACCAACTTAAATAACAAGCAGCCATTTTCGTCCGACATGGTCGGATGCATCAATCAGGTCCTGAACAGGAAGTGCACCAGTCTTATAGTTGAACGGATATGAAGGCGCAAACATGGCGGAATCGTGACTGCCAGTGGCCGGAGCTTTTCATCTTCGACTCGAATAACGAGGCAAATTTTCCCGGCTCAAATGTTGTGCTTGAAAGCTGACCGCCGTAAACAGCTTAACGGCGATCAATAGCACGTTACAGGAACACGTCAGTACTATTCAGAGTAACCAAGATCTTCTACGTACGTCAACAGTCTCCTAATTCTGTCTAGACCCTAGACTAGAGATTCACATGGTACATGATTAATCTGTAACTCAAGATACGACATTGGCTGTAAGAGTGCCCGTCTACAAAACCATAGCTCCGTGCTCAGTGTGCTCTACCATCCGGAACGGGGCTTCGACTTGTCAAGAAGGTTGACGTCATCCTCCTCGTCCTCAACAGCTGCAACAATAATAAGCATCCAAATCGTAAGGGCAGATGTCAATGAGCATCGGAATCTGCTATTACAGTGGCCGCTTGCAGATTTTCGACTCTTCGACTGCTCCCCACTGTTCTCAAAAGCAACTAAATTCAACAAGCTGTTTCTGACTCGGGTACTTTTCGAAAAGGTGGATAATACATTCAACAATTGTCAAGGGACCGTCAGTTCCTCTAGTCCACAAAGCCTGACACGCTGAGCAAAGAGCAGCTTCTTCAGAGACTCCTTCACCGATCTGACGTGACGTGAAGCACGTGGCATCAGCAGATTCCCGGTTGAGTCTTGCGAAGATGCTCACTTGTGCGTGCGCCGAGCCCCGCAAAGATGTTATCCAAGGTGGCTGCGGGACTCGCTGGCCGTGCCGACGTCGTCAGTGGCTGCGCCTGCTGCTGCGTTTCCGGAAGCTTCCCTTGCATCCGCTCGCGACTCGCCCGCAGCTTCTCGGCCACCGTAGACAGGCCGGAACCCATCTGCCGAACGACCAACGGACAGGTGTCAGTTTCCTTTTCACAACCATCTTCTCGACACTGCCTAGATTATTCGAAGCGTCGAGGCTTGTAGACCCCGATAGAGGGCTTTCAAGAAGTATGCTTAAAAGAGCACGGTCTGGCAACAGGTCTGCCAATATCCACGACGAACAATACTCTACGCGGCCTCGCTATAAAAACGGTCACTGGCAAGCAGATGAGCCGCTTCTCAGGCAGCGGTCCGACAAAACGCAACGCCCTGGTCCATAACCGCACCCTTCCTGTGCATGTCACATACCCTTCTCCTTACCTGGTCAATCCCTTTCGTGAGGCTGCCCTTGAAGTTGCCCCACCGCGACGCCATGCTCGCCCCCAGCGCCCCCGCCGGCCCCCCGACTACGTCTTGCATCTCCCGGGCAGGCGAAGCGTTCGGTCTGCCCGGAAGTGGCGGTCGGCCATTTCCCCCCGGGCTCGTAGGCCTGCTGTTGCCCCTACTGCCAGGCCGCCCGGGGCCTCCCTCCGGCCGTTGACTGGGGGGTACGTACCGCCTCGGGTTTTGGGTGTCGCGGGGGGGCGTGAGGGTCGGGTTTTGGAGGAGGGAGGTGGAAGGGGACGGGGAGATGGACTTTGAGGCGCTCTGAAGACGTAGAGAGAAAACGTGGTGGTGAGTGAAGGGCGGGTTAATGATTCGGATCAACCCAGGCCTTCGGAAATCAATCTCTTCAATCTCTTCATAAGGTAAAGCAGTTGTCGCATCGATTTTCTTCCCTCAAGAATCGCCACTGTCTCTGTAGCTTGTGAGTGCGGAGTCAGTCGTCAGTTTCAAGGAAGAAGCTCAAGCCTACAGCTGGCAAATCACTGATCGAGCTACAATTGGCTGTCGGTCTGCTTACACAGATCGAAACGGTTACTAGCTCCATCCGTTGCGACTGCAGAGCCTGTCCCCAGTCCTATCGCAAAAACCGCGATGAATTATTGTACCGCTTATGGCGACCAAACGTTAAGACGGCGGAACTGACCTTCTTGCGAGGGGGCGACTTGGATGCGGGGGCCGCTGTGCCTGCTTCCACGTCACCGTTTGCCATGCTGCGCGCCAGGGGCATCACGCTCTCGCCCACCGTCATGCCCCGCTCCAGCGACGCACGCTCTGACAACACGAAGAGAAAAACGCTCAGTGAGCTTTTCAGGCAATAATTGCTATACCGATAACGGGCTCGACTGATAAGAAGTACTGGTGTTTATGGTCTCGTCGGTATAAGAGAGGCGCAATGATAGCCAAACCAGACTGCCCAAGATCAATGATAAAGTGAAACGTAAATTTAGAAGGGTCACACAGCGGACGCAACCTGTGCAATAGTGCCTGATAAGGTCTTCCTGAAAGACCACGGGAAGCTTGAAAGCAGTGAAGACGTCTCTACGAGTGTCTATAACCTTCTCAAGAGGTAACGACTTTCATTCCCCTTGTTGACCAAGCTGTTTGTAAAGTGACGGCTCTGAAACCTATCACCCTTTGCGCACTTTGGCGAAATGCAAAAGGCCGCCTTTTGAAGGATGCTTTCCGGAAGCGCTTTACCTTTCCGCAGGATGATGTTTCCAGACGCAGTGAAGTCGTCGGACCGGTCCTCGTCGTCAAAGTGGAAGCGCTTGGAGCCGCCGAAGAGGTCGAGGAAGCGGTTGAACACGTTGGCGGCGATCATGGACGAGAAGGCGACCATGAGGAACGGGAAGTACGTGTTGAACTCGTCGCCCAGCACCGGGATGTTGCCCATCTGCCCCATTTTCTGCACGGCAAAGAAAGCTTGGGAACTCATTTCAGAGGTGAAGGTATGTAGATAGTCACGGGTGATTTTATCCTGGCTGTTAAGCTGTTGGGGCTTGTCAGAAAGACGTTGCTATCGACACGGTTGCTGCACGCCACATGGGGTCGCGTCTTTGAGCTGTTTTTGGTCAATAAAATCAGGGGTTTGTATCTCCTAGGGTTCTACGCTATTTCCCAGGAGGGATTTTAGGGTGTGTATTTCCAAGGGTTGTTGGTGTGCCCAGACTCTAAAAGCCAAGACAACGCTTTGCTCGGTTCGTTCTTTGTACACAGACCGCTCCTCTCTTTTTGTGCTTGTGTAAGCGTCTGGATAATCGGTACAGGGTAAGGTGTGAACAAGCTCCGTCTTCATTCTGTGCAACGAGCATAGTGATGTGGACTCACGTATCCCACCAGAAAACTTCCTTGCATCGGGGTGGTATATCAAGCTCACCTGGTCAAAGACAGTGTTTCCGACGTGGATGAGATGCAAGAAGTTGTACGACATTGGGGCGGCAAAGCGGCAGGTGAGGCTGCAGTACGGGACAAAAGTGCGGGTGAGGATGCCTGCACAATGCTCATCTTCATCTCCTCTGACGAAAAGCTTTGGCTTGATTGCGCCGTCTAAAAGCAAATGAGCAACCGCAGGTTCTGCGATATAAGCAAATGTCAAAACAGTAAACAATTGCTGAGCTCTAGAGCTGGGAGTATAAAGATACTCAGCATCGAGCATGCGAACACTTGTGGCACAGCTGGAGAAATTCGTCAGCTCTCCTGTCGATAAATCGGGTGTATTCTGACGGCTCAGATCTTTAGAATCTTGACGATAACCAGGGACTCTCTTCGGTGCTTGCGTGGCAAGTCGAAGACTTACGACGCGTTGACGAGGAGGCTGACGGCGTCGGTGTGCTTGGGCACGAGGTAGTAGAAGCTGAACATGCCCAGCTTGAAGACGGAGAAGTAGGTGCAGACGCAGATGTACACCAGGGGGACGAACGTGAAGATCTGCGGAACGCTGGCTGAGAGGTTCAGGAGGTTTTATCTCTTGTATGGTTTCTTCTTGCTTTTTTTATTCTCCGACCGCAGTCATGAGAGAACAAGGATGATTTGAACAGGGAGCTGACGTGCCTAGGCCAAGCTCGAAAAACATTTCAAAGAAGGGGCCGGAGAGCAGAGCAGCTAGTGTGCCAAAGTCATTTTAGCTCAGCTTGGCAGCTCGACGAGTGCGCAAGCAAGGAACGAGACCGACACGCCGCCAGAGTGCTTGTGTCTTGAGATAGTAACGTTCTGTCCCGAAAGAACGCTCGCTCGGAAGCAGAATCCGGCACCTTTGCGGCAGAACGCAAAAGCGAAGCCAGTCTTCCTGTTAGGTCCGGACCAACCAAGATGCTCCACCATAAGACAGCACCTGCTATCTCGGAGGCTAGCTCGGTGCTTACTTATGCTCAGAGACTTCCACCTTTCTGAAACACACCGTCAGCCTGTCTTAAAGATGTCACAGGTTTGACCCATCCACAGCTCGGGTTTTCTGCCCTCAAATCATAACGAGAACCAAACAATGAAAGCGGGCGCGCGTCAAGCATGTTGACATCACCTGGAAGTGTCTCCTTGTTGCATGCCGACTTCATCATGAGGCTTCGACCCAGCCACAGCTCAAATCCTTTGCCCTCACAAAATGACTCGACCCAAAAAATACGAAGAAAGATGCGAGACGAGCATGTCACCTGGACGAGTGACTCGTTGTCTCCGGCCGATTTGATCAGGAGGCTGAACACGGACAGGTCCGGCTTGCCGTCCGTAATAATGGTCGCCTCCGCGAAGATGAGCGCAAGCGATACCATGATCAGCAGCGCCGCCATCAGCTGCACCGTGACCGACCGCAGGACGCACCGCCACAGCCACTCTGCAATAGAACGGATTCCGCAGATTCGAGATGAGCTGAGGGCTCTTTTCTGAAGAGAGTTCGGTGCTTGGCTGGAAGGGATTTGCAATGACGCACGATTCTGCGTGCGTCATTGCAAATCGAATCCAGAAAGCTGACCGAGTATGCTTTGCAAATGGTGGTCAGCTTTCTGGATTCGACTTGCAAAAACTCTCAAGCAAGCCGGGCTAAGCGACTGCAGCTCCGCAACAATTGATGTCAACTTATGAAACCACTTGCAGCTATGGGCAGACAGCTGTGAATTCAATATATTTGCTCACTGAGAACCAGCCAGGGTCGAAAACGATACCAAGGAGGTATGAGAGAACTAAAGCTCATGGAAAGCTCAAAAGTGCACAAAGGACGCAAGATGGCTTTGACGACCCTTCGCTGAAAAAAACGGTTCGCTAAACGTAGGGCGTAGCGAGCCCTGGACGACCTAAGCCAAACGCTCGAGCAGGCTCGCAATGCCTTTCGGCAGTGAACTTCGTCGTGTTGAACCCCGATTGCAGTTCGATGGCGCCTCGACTTGACAATATGAGTTGTCCGGCGCAGCCCGCCTTTTTCTCACACATGCTGTCGAGACCACCAAGAACCAAAGCAAGGATTGTACTGCCTACCTGCTCGGTTTATGAGGTCCGCAAACTGCCCTGTCCGAGTGGGCCGGATCGTCGAGACGAACTTGTAATCGTTCGCCTTCCCCGAAGCCGCGTTCTTCATGGTGTCCTCCAGCTCGAGGGCCGCCCACACAATCGCCGCGTACTCACTGCGGGCAAAGGACTGACGTCACGCGGGCTTTGCGAAGTTTCGCTGATTAGAGGATGGAGAATCACAGTGCTACTCGAGGATCTGTTTGCTGACAGAAGGATTGCACTGGCAACCGGCATGCAGAGACTTCAGTGTCCTCGCTAGTCATAGGCCGCTCGTTTGACCGTCGATCCAGGAACGAGAGGGCGCGACTAAGAATACAAGCATGGGGGACACTCACGATCTGCGAGTTTGATATCGCTGGATGCTTTCTGAGTCACTGCGAAAATGTGTCGCTCGTAGAAGTGGGTCGATAAAACTGACAACGAAACGGAGGAGAAAGTGCTTTCGAAAACCAAACCCCTCGCTTGCAACTCCTGCAAACCTCACCCCTACGAGCCCCTGCCGAGATTCGACCGGGGTATCAATGAGTTCGGAATCCTCACCTCTTGTACCGGTAGTACTGCTCCTTCGCATTCCTCAGCCGCTTCCGCAGGGACGCCAGAGTCTTTATGCTCATGTCGTAGTCCATGTCGTTCTCTCCGATCCGGCCCCCCGTGGGTTTGAAAGTGGGGTCCTCCGCTGCCATCGTGTCAATCATATCCATGTACGGCCGTAGCGGATCCCGCCGCGACATCTGATTTGACGTTGCCTGAGCAATCTGAGCACATACACAGGAACAACGAAAATTCTTAGCTCGAGTCATCACGTTTCGAAAGCATCAACGATGTACCTAGCATGATCTGACTCCAGAGTGTGGGAGCGCTGATTGCGCACCAAGCAACATTCCGACTGTGGTACAATGTTTCGATTGATAAAGAGCCCGTTGTCAGCTTCTGAATGACGAGCTGCCCCTCCGGCGGAGCGCCAATTGCAATCCAGCGGTGTCCATGTTGCATCCGCTCCCTCACCCATATTGCTGTCCACAGCTCCCAAGGGCCTCGTGGAGCTTCAGTTGCCTTTGCAAGACGAGCCACCCTGCCCAATAAAACGACGAGGATTGTTCGCTTACCACAATTGCCGTTGATAACTCCCCATGCGCCTCGTCCAGCTTCTCTGCTATCCGGCCCACTTTGTGCGCCAGCCACCGCTGCCTCAAGTTCAGGTCCGCATGCCTCCACAGCCCCCGGGGGAGCTCCACCAGACCGTACGCCAGAAGGAGACCTCCCGTGACCAGACCGAAAGTGTTCGACGCTGCTATCGCGTAGCCCTGGATGCCGCTCCTGCAATAACATGTGCTTGATGAGAGGTCAATCAAACTAGGATCTCAAGTCTGGCGTTGTGCAAGCGGCAGGGCAGGCTGTTTTACAGTTGGCTGCCCTTCACTCGATCCAAATAGGAGCTTGAGGCTGTCCATGGCGCCAGGTCTGTTAAGGTCCAGGAATGTGCAGGAAAGACTGTGTAGGAACAAGAGTCGATTCCATCGTCAATTGTGACGAATGAAATTCTTTTTGGGAAATCACTTTGGTGTCCTGAGCTCAAACATCTGACAGGTCTGTCGTATGCAGCGTCCCGATCAGTGGACCCGATGAAACTTACAGGGTCATTTTGCCTGAGGCAATCAGCAGGACAAGGCCGACCAAGCCGACAGCGCCCACGCTGCCATAGAAAGTCACGTTGTGCCGGACGCTATATTTCAGCCGACTTGCCACCGTGAAGTCCCCAGCGTCCTCATAATGCTGAAATGTGGGGATGATCAGCCTGCAGAGCATGTGACCACGTTGAGCTGCCATGATCCATTCCTGCCACTCGTTTTGTCTACCGCTGTCAAGCTCCTATCCGCAATCGCAGGTCAACCACCCGCTGACTCTTGGTCTGCTGATCTGTCATGTTCAATGTCTGTGTACATATGTGTTTCATGAGTACAAGAACTGCCAGGACTGCCGGAAGGAATGACCTGCCGATGCTGAGTCAGCCAGCGAAACCAGGGTCAGACTTGCTTCTTCACAAGTCTTCCGCTGCCAATGACGCCACTACATCTCCTCACCAGGTTAACGCTTGGGCGCTCCAGTACGCTGTGCTCCACATGATGGAGACAGCATTAGACCTCCCGTGGTGTAGGGTCTGCAGAGTAAACATGAAGGCATTCATAGTTCCCTGCGAACGGCTGCTTCGGAGGCTTGCGTGCATTCACTGTGTTGGAGACGGCAAGGGAAGCGCAATAATGACACCCATGAGATCTCATGGCGCAACGTGTCAAGAGTGCGATTACAACCTTCTATGACAGCAAAAGCAAAGGACAGCTTCCCAGAGCACGGATCGCTTCCGCACAAAACTCCACATCTTAATCATATACTTGCTTCGGCGAGCATACCCCGTGCCATTGATCATTAATTACTCACCGTGTAGACATCAATGGGTACCAGGATGACAATGGACAGGTTTGTGAACCACGCGTAAGCAACCACGGTCTTAACCATCCAGTCAGCCTTAGGGGAAGCGTAGTGGAAAAGTGTGACGAGGTCCATCACCACAACTGTGATGATGGCAACCACGTAGAAGGTCCACATCTTGACAACCCTGCTGTCGCACCGGCCTGGGGCCCAAACCAGACTACTTAGGCGTCCCCCTTCACTTTTGATCTTACGCGCAGGCGCAGCAGGGCTTTGGCAAGAACCTCACAAAGGGACTACTCCTACTATTGATGGATGCTATGAGACTGCACAATCCTCCCAGAGCAGTCCACCGGCGGCCAACATTAGGGTTTCTCCTATATTCCTGAGAGCATAGGCCTTCGCCTCTTCATGAGCAACTGGCTTGATTCAGAAATCAATCTAGGACTGCATGTACTACCAATGATGGCAACAACCTTCTGCGTGTGTTGCTTGGCGCCATCAACACCCTCCCACATCCCATGCTGAATCAGTGCTCAACGAAAAGTTTGCGTTGGGTCAGAGCGCGCGCCTTCAAGACCAAGTACCGGTAGGTAGTAGTAGACCAGTTACCGGTAGGAAGTTCTCTCCCTCAATGTCATGCAGGTGCAACTTCAAGGGCTCTCATGTTGCGGTTGCACCAGGAGCGATCCCACGTGATGCTTAGAATCATTTAGGGGGGCCCGTTTGTTGTTGAATCGAACCCCCGGGTAGTCTGAGCTGTGCCACATGTAACGCCCTAATTCGACAAGAGTTGTGTAATATGAAGTATGTCTGGACGAATCCAGAACCCTAAAATTTGCAGTGGACGAGCAAGCTGAGCTGCACAAACTTGAACTTGAACTTGAACTTGAAGTGCAGACTGCAAACTGCAAGTTCCCAACTTCCAATCCAGAGACGGACGAATCTGAAAAGACTACCGTAGACGCACGATCCTTTATAAGTTTGAGCAGCGACTTCCAAGCAGGTTGCAGATGACGAAACAGGGGAATGAGAAGACTGCCGTCAGGTAGCTCAGAGTTCTGCCATTGGCCCTGCAGCAGGGAGACATCCGAGGGATCTGCCGCCTTTTGAGGAACCGACGGTGCAAGTTGGAGGACGCCAGCTGCATTTGCAGGCTACTTGCATCCTAGATCACTTGTGCTCCTGGAGCTTTGACATTAGATTGTACTTGTCAATCTAGGGTTTTGGTAAATCTTGGCCAGATCTGTTGCCTGGTAATAGACATCAATAGGCATCAACACTGTAGGAGAGGTCCTTGGAAGTGAGCGATGGCAAAAGTTGGAGAAGGGGATCCGCGCTGGATAGTGACAGACCGTGATGATGGGCGGAACGTGAACGGGTGGCATTGTAAGCAGCCTCGCTTTCAAGTCTCGCAAGTTTTTGAGCCGTTGGAAGCTGCTCTTTTTGCTTTGTGTCATTCGACTAACATGCCCGCACGTAAATCTGCGTATGGAGCTACTGGTGTGCTGAGCGGCTGCCTCCAGTATCTGTTTATAGTGAGTTCGCTATTCCCTATGAAGTTTGATTTGCAGCGTCATCGAACATTTTGCTCTTCTGCTAGTGCTCTATGCAATCGGTGCTTCAAAAGTGCTAGCTTTGAAAGCTGGCCAGATCCTGGTTTCGATTGTTTTCTGTCATGTAACATGGAGTTGGGGTGAGAAACACACTTGAGGTTTTTGGATGTCTGAATGTGGAGGACTATCATTCTTGATGTGCCCAAGGGTTTATCCAACTACCATTTGCAGCATGACCCCAAATGTGGGCCTATCATGCCGTTTGCTGCGGTTAAAAGACCCTTGGTGGGAGTAGAGGAGGCTACTGACTGGTTTCTTCTTTGAAAGATGCTGGAGAAGAGGATTGGTTGTCAGGCCCTGCCATGCTTTTTTGATGACTCATACATGCCCTGCTTGCCTTGTACGCATCTGCACAGAGATGCTAAGGATTGATCAGCTTGACATGCTCCTCCGCTGTCAGCATTCTGCACTCTTTGAAGTGGGACTACATCCCTCCATCACTCTGCAGGATGGACTTGCCTCTCTGCTTGCGTGGAATTGAGTCTGGTGCTTACAATTCCATCATAAACTCATTGCTCGCAGCTTCTTCTTGAACCGAAGTTGACCGTTCGGAAGAGCAACATGTATTACTGTTTAGCCACATGTGGGTGTCCTCTTTTGCGTGTTCAGAATATTATTTTAGAGCTGACATCTGTCTTGAAAGTTTCCAGTTTGTTCGTTGTGTGGACGATCGTGCCTTCTTAGATCAACTTGTGCGAGCAGTAATGTCAACTAACTCTTCAAATCCTTTGAGCAGGGACGGAGAAAAGTTACACAACATGGAGCCGACAAAGACTGGAGGAGATGGTCAGAGATATACCCGTCGAGTGCGACGTACACGAAGGGCAGGCAAAAGTCACAAAACTGAAACGGTTGGATGGGGATGTACATTTGACAAGCAGAAAGGGCAAAAAGCACGGGGCTTTATATGATATCACCCTCACAATGGAATGGATTGGCCAAGTTCCGAAACCAAGCACGGAGGGTGGAGAAGAAGTTAAAGGGGAGATCAGAATTGCAGAGATTGTGAACGGGCATGACGAGAAGGATTATGAGTACGAAGTCACGGTAGAGGGGTCGGGGCAAGGGCATGATCGGTTGAAAAGCAGGGTCAAAGCGGCAAAGCCACAACTATTGCAGATTGTGAGCGAGTTCTTAGCGGAGCTCTCCAGGCAATGCTGATGGCAGGCGCTAGGTACAGTTCGACATCCATCCCTAGACTGTCTGCTGTCCGGCTGGAGAAAGCGCTCCACGATTGAGACTTCAACCGGTCCGTAATGCACTACCGCAGCATGCATGATATGCCAAGCAGATAGACTACACCAGTCATATGTGGAGTATCAAGAAGGTGTCACATAACGTGGTCGTTCCAACATCTTTACGGCAGGCACGCCTCACATTGCAATTCCTTGCTGTTCATCCGACAGGTATCAACCCGAAGTTTTTTGTGGTCAAGTTCGCAACCATGATCTAAGCAACGGACATGGGCGATCAGTGGTCAATTGATAATGGTTGTTTGCATCAATTTGCGTAATCAGAACACACATCATTCAGTTGGCTTGAATTGGTGAGCTATTGACAATCACGTTGCCAACTTACAAACTTACGTGATGGCCGGCTGAGTCTATTTGACATGTGGAAGACTCGCACTAGATGGATAAGTGACTTTCTATACACATGTTCCGATTTCTACAACAAAATCGGTATACCTAAATGATTGTGGCTATTCGCGGTCATGCACTTGCCATATTGTGATTCAAACTAGTTCACTTCTTTGAAAAAGTCCTTTCTCAGAGTCAACCACTGAGCACGGGCTATCACGGACACCGCGTTGCGACTCTTCAGATAAAGAAGCTAAGATACTACTCGACTCAACAAATCCCGCATGCAGCGCCCGAGATTTATTTCGCTCCGGGGCACCTCGACTTCAAAACTTTGATGATAACGCAATAAGCCAGGGCAGCAGTACAGCAGGGCGCGGCCCGCACTGAGATACTAACATGCATACGTCTCATGAGCCAGCTTGGTTTGCAAACCATTCAAGGCCCGGCTTATCGTACCCTATCAGTAATTACACCACTGCAGTCCGCAGGGTGTAACGTACATGTGTGATCTACACTCATATTCTTCATATGATGCAGTCCGGGATGCAGCCAACATGCTAATTACTAATCAAGCAGGAACGTCCAAGTGGATCAGACAAGGCACTGATATGCTTTCTATACTGCCATCATATTGCATTCACGTCGCCCTTAGACATTTAATCACTCGGTTCATTGTCTGGTATAGCATGGATTTAAATGTGATTTAAATATGGCTGCGAGGTGGCTGGGGGCCTGCTGGGGGATGGCTGCGAGGAGCTCGCACTAACGGTATCAAGCTGGTGCAATAGCACTGCGGCACAGTGAGATTATCAGCACTTGCCAACGTGTACGCGTCTACGCGCGTACGTCGTGTACCTAATTTACCGCAAGCACTGCACGTAGTGACAAACTCCTTCCAACTCGGAATCAGAGGGCGAACCAGTCATCGATCCCCAGCACGTTGGAAATCGGAGAAAATCCTAGAATCCTACTAGCGTCCAAGCTTCGAGCCCTCTTGAAAAACCACCCTTGACATTAATAGTGCCCCGCTTCTGCAATGTGCAAATCCGCAGACTCCATCTGATGCGCTGCGTATGGCGTGCGTATGGCCAGCTAGATTGCACAAGTTGTATACATCAATACATCACATCTAAAAGATCAAAAAGACAAGCACGTGAAAAGCCGTACTGAACTGCCGTAGATCGCCGAATTGTGCTTCGATAAGGGATCCGGAACTGTCTGTGCCATGTGGCCCCGTCGAGTCTTCGACGCCAGATTACTAAGGGCAGATTTGATATGATCGACATGCCTTCAGGCCCCCTCACTTTTGACACCAAATTTGCTGGTCAGGCTCCTTTGTCCTCACTGTAAAGTACTCACTCACTCACTAAGACTTTCTGAGACTGTGCCCGGATGCCCGGCCTGATTGAAGTATTAGCCAATACGAGGCGGACTTCATGCCATTGCTCTGCTAGCTGCTGGTATTCTGATCTTCTGAAAATCGGGCGCTCTAGCGCCGCTAGCTGTCTGGTGATATCCGCGTTCGAGAATCGACACGGACTCACGGGTTTTGATTCGCAGTCGGTTGGACCTATGAACCGGTCGGCTTGTGTCAGTCAAACTCCTAGGCTCCTAGCCTATAAAAGCTTCCCTCGGTTGAGTCGGCCGGGTGGCAATTCCGGCGGCTGACGTTCGCCTAGTTTGACGGCTCCTGTCGAACATTGCTGGTGATGTCGAAGTCTAAGTACAGTGAATGCTCCACACTGCACACATCCACAGAGAAGCAAATGCTCCTGAGTCCTGACTCCGTACCGTCGTCGGCTCTCACCATGATCACCAGTCCGCAATGCGCATGCGGCATCATTCATCTGTGCGTACGTACGTACCGGCACCGGGCCTATGCAAGACCCTATCGCCTATCGTAAGTTCCACCGCCCCCCGGAGAAGCCCAGCGCGCTAGTGATGTATACGTAGCGCGCTAGGTAGGTTGGAGAACTGGCCCCAGAGGCCAGGGCCCAGCAGGCCAAGCCTTTTCCTCTTGAAGACCGTGTCATGCCAGAGGAATCTGCCACGGCTCCACGGATGCAGTGATGGCCGGAGTCGCGGTCTGGAAATGCAGTACGTTCATCCGAAAGTTTCCTGGCGGCTGCTTAAATTGTAGTACGGTCGCAGATGCATTATGCAGGCGCGAGGCACTCGCACGGCGCAGGGCGCCCAGAGTTGAGCCGATGCCGGACTCTGCTGTGCTGCATGATGCATGCGCAGGTGAGAGCAGTTACTGCTTCGGAGCATTTACTAGCATCACGTGATGTTCACCGTTGGGAAGTGCTCAGTGCTCTATTGCTGAGTGCCGCAGCCGCTTCGACAAGCAGTCTGCATCTGCTATGATGAGGTTGGTATGTCAACGTAACCTCTAGGCGGCTTAACCCTCAGTATTGTATCGGTATTCTAGAATTCGCTTACTGTAGCTTAGCATAAATTTCAGAAACCAAGAGACAAGTCGAAACCAAATCATGGGCGCAGGCTAGCTCACAAGATCACGAGCTCAAAAATGCGTGACTGACCTGCTCTTCAGTGTTTGATTAAAAACTGGGTTAAGGGCGCTGGTTTAGCTGGCCTTACTGCATAATTCTCCAGCTGCCCGGCAACACGGAACCGTCAAAGCGGAGCTAATGCCCCTCGATTATGCGCGCATAATGCACTGGCACTGCCTGCGAGCGTGTGACTAGGACGTGCCAGGTCAAGCACTTACTCCCATGCTGACTCAGCGTGCGCCCGACGAGCGGGAGTGCGACAGTGAGCGACGGCCCTTCGCTTCATCCTGAGAACCTGCAGTGACAAGGCTTCACGCAGCGATGCATCATGATGCAGAGACACTGCTGCTAAAGTTGGCCTGCTGAAAGCACCCATCGCAGACTTGCGGCTGAAGGCAGTCACTCGCCAGCAGGGGCACTAGTTCAGGGCCCGGAATGGGGCTTATAAAAACCCGGAATTCTCTTTCCCTCCGTCACTTCCACAAGCCCACTTCCCCTTCTCAACGCGCAGCTTCGACTCGACGCTTTCTACCAGTCCCTCAAAGCCTTCACTCCTCCCTCTCGACTCCCGCAAGTCCTTTGAAGCTCCCTCCGACATCCTCCAAACGCCATGGCTGCCTCCTCCATGCTCAGCTGCGCCGCCCAGCCCGCTTCTTTGACGTCCCTACGCGCTGGCAGATCTTCGAGCTTCATGGGCGACCAAGTCCGCACGGCGCCTGTGGCGCTTAGGCGCTCCCAGAACGTCGCCGCTTCCTTCAAGCCCCGCGTACTGGTGGCAGCTGCCGGCGGCTACCAGAGTGGACCAAGGTGAGTCTGGTCTCTTATTTGGTCTCTTACCCTGTTGCTGAACGAGTCATGTTTTTCCTGTTGCAGACGATTGCTCGCACGGGTTCACACCGGTCATGCAGACAGTTTTTGAGAGGCATAGATTGGCATGCCAAGAATGTTCCTGGAAGATCTTGACAGCAGAATTGCCAAGCGTCCTTGGTTGAAGCAGCCGCTCCTTTTGCTGCTTCTGATCCGGATTCAAGGACAGAAATGCTTTTGGGTAGCCTTTTGAAGCACATAGGAGATGAACATATCATCTGCAAGCGGACCTGCTTGGTAGCAGTCGAATTCGGAAAGAGAAGTTTCATGGCTGTGCACTGAAGCTTTAACCTTCTTTCTCTTTGCCTCAGGACTGCCAAGGACCAGGGGGCGGGCATAGTCCCAAAAGCGGTGGCAACATCAGGTAAGCAATCTTACTACGTTAAAGAGGGGCCTAGAACTTTTGCACGAGAGACTGATCTTGGACTTGCAATTGAACTGGACTTGCGCGGAAATGGCGGTGCCTATGAAATCAGTCTCTACTGTCGCTCACCTGCCCCGCTGTTTCTGAGCGTTTGCTCAAAGCTAAAGCGCACTTCTGCGACTTGGCAGCAAGATCCACCTAGCGTGACGGTTCACTTTGTAGCGTTGTGAAGGTAAGCGCTGACTTTTTGCTTCCAAAAGGGAACCTTCATTGCAACAAAGTTGATTGCTGATGGCAAGTCCTTTACTTTGCGGCGCCGCCCGCGGCCAAGGTTGCGCCACTCAGCGCGGCCGCCGAAGTGCCCACGTCCTCGATGCCCTCCCGGTATTACATGCAGCTGGCCCAGGCGCTGGGGGTTGATCCGTCTGGCTTTCAGGCGCTGAAGACCCCCGTTAGCCTCGGCACGACGAGCAAGGAGCTGTGGGATCAGATGGACCGCATTCCGAACAAAGTCATGTTTGGCAGCTTGGGAGGGAAGGTCAACTTCCATCAGGCGTACAAGAACATTGTCGCCCCGCTCAAGTGAGTCGATGACACCAATTCTGCGTGCATGTGGCGCTTCCTTGCCTCTGACTATGAGCTTTTCCTGTTCTTCAAGGTTGCCGGTACGTCTCGTGTGGACTTTGCGCAATCAAGCAGCTGTTCTCACAATTGAAGAGCACGACATGGGCAACTCTGTTTGAACGACTAAGAAAAGCAGGAGAGCTAATCACGTCACCTTTTTGAGCACGAGAATGAGTTGCATTGACCTCTTTTTCAGCCCTGGCGATGACGGCAGCGCGTTCGAAGCCGCCATGGGCGACCAGCTGGACGAGTGGTACACGTACAAGAAGACCGCCAAGGGCAAAATTACGCCTGCCGTCTTCAACGCGTGGGCGGACAAGAACTTCAACGGCGATGCTACCGAGGTCGAGGAAGCCTTCCTGAGCATGACCGACGACCCAATCAAGGCGGCCCTGGATGTGGTGCACAACCCCAAGAACTTCGCCACGCTCTATGAGACCGATATCAAGGTGAATTGCGTAAACCACCGCTCACATGTTGGGCTGCGCACTTTTCTGATCTGAAACGCGACCCCTTTTGCCAGTGATATCTTTGCTTGACACTATCCGTTAGAACAGAAACGTTCAAGGGCAGTCATCAGAACGACATTCAATGCATGCTTGGACTGATTGGCTAGTCTATGTGGCTTCAAAGTGCTGCACTCAAGTGCTTCAGGCAGATTGAGTATGTAACTCTACAGGTCAAAGGAAGCGCTCTTTTTGGCCTGACTTTGTACCGCGTGCTCCGAAGCCAAAGCAGCGATTAGACATGCTTTGAACAGACATCTCTGGCAGAGACTTCCGTTCAGACGGCATCGACTTTTTTGATGCATCCAAAGGGCTGTTCCATATCCATTTTTGTTCGCGTGCCAATGTGGGGACTCACTCTGATTACTTGCTTGGAGCAGGCACTGAAGAGCATGCTCAATGGCGGGTCTGCTATCAACTTTACCTTCGACAACCAGGGGGCAGCCATCGACCTCTCGTCCGCTTATGCCCACACCGAGTCTGATGACAGATTCTTGTGGTGGGGCAGCGACACCAGCACCACCGCGACCAGCCTCAGCTCCAAGATCGCCAACGCAAAGGTTACGGTCACGGTAAGCATCGGCGTCGGCTGCCTTTTCATTGGGGACTGTATGCGAGTGTCAGAGTGTTTTTCTGTGGCCCACTTCGGTGCAGCCTAGTTTTTCTTTCTTCTTGTTCGTAACGAGGCAAGGTCTTCATCAACGCTTCGGCAATCTTCTTCAGGCCTTGCATTAAGTCCGCTGTAGCTTCAGTATTTGTCCTTTCCTTCGTTAACAATCCAGAACTTCAAGATGCTGCTTTGTTGCTGCGGTCTCTCTATAACAGTTGACAAGCTTCGCTTGATTGAAGTGCAAGGAGCCCACGCTCTTGAAAGTGGAACCCAAACGCCGCCCTTTTTCAAAAACAATTCTAAACAAGATTCTCGCGCCGCTCACACAAGATCGTCACGATTTTCCTCCACCCAATGCTGTGCTTCACAATTCCCAGGTTTCCTACGGAAAGGTGGTGTCCGTGCCGGTCTCTGCCAAGACCACCTGGTTCGATTCGTCAGTCATGGCGACGGCCCTGAACGGTGACTCGACAATCTGGAAGGACCCCACCAGCCAGACCAACTTCTTCGGCAACGGAGCCGACCAGGAGGGCCAGGTGCCACGTGTCATCAACTCCATCTACGTGGTTCGGGGGCCCTTCAAGATCACCACGACCATGTGAGTGCTTTCGGGCGCGCTTGTGAGCACCTTTGACCGGAGCAGCAAGACCTTCCCGATCTCGTCGTGTGACGCTCCATGACTGCTCCGAGCGACCGAGCTCAAATTTATTTCTCACCAGAAGATGCACTCGCGATTGGACTCCCCAGCCCGGGCGGGAAGAGCGAGGACACATATGTGGGCGCCTTTGATTTGCACAGTCAATCGATCAAACTTTTGTCTTAGCCAGCTTCCGTGTCCGAACTTCCTGAAAGCATTCAGATGATCTCCGCTGTCTCGCTGCAGGGAGGCCGACTGGTCCGACGACGAAAGGAGCTACTTCCAACAGAACATCTCGGGGGGCTTCTGGCCCTTCTACTCCAGCAGCTCCAAAACCATTCAGAACACCGTGGACACGTGCAGCAAGACGCAGATCACGGCGACCTCCTTCAACTCGGACAGCGGGACTTACAAGGTCCTCGGGGCGCAGATTTCGGACATCAGGTCTGCCTTCTCTTAGCGGGACGGCGGCTGAGAGCCTTGCCGTCCGCTAATCAGAGCGTGACCACAAGGCAGGAAGCACGGATGCGTGCACTTAGCAGGCCTCCTGTAGATACGTGTAAATTACTCGTTTTTCAATTGTGTGGTTTGGTTTGGAATAGTATAATCACCTCCAGTGAAAGAGCCCCGGTAAGGTGAACCAAGTCAAGATGTACCAAAGGGGATTTTCTGGGGCGATGTATACTATAGTAGGTGTGAAATAGGATTTGGTTCAGCCCTCGTTGAGACTAGGCTTTTCAAAGAGTAACGCTAGGTTATGAAGACCAGACAGCCAGGTACATGAAACTTCGTACACCAACAAAATCTTCATTTTCCACAAAATCTCATATTGCCCATCACGTTGACATATTCTTCTCGGCTGTTTTAGAATTTCAGCATGCGAGTGCAAGGGATGAACTTACTGGTCATGAACACTCATCCATTTTTTCTGCTTTGCCATGGTTGGAGTTAACACGCGACATACGATCTGCATGAATAATGATCATGATGACCTGCAATATTGGCGTCAAAGCCTATCATGGACGATTCAAGGGAGTCACCTAGCACGAAGATGGTAGAGGATCATGATCCTGAAGTGGAAACTTCTAAAACACATAACACGCAGAGAGTCAAGCGCTCCAGCTCGCCATCCTGGGACAATTTTGTAACCTCCTTGCTCACGGCAAAACGATCGGCAGATGCCTTATCACAAATTCTGCGGCTCATGTCAGGTAACAAAGCGAGTTAGTGGAGGCCGCACCCTTGCCATGTTCAAAGCGACATCCGTCCAAGTTCGCGTGCCGTGTGGCAAGATATTACAGAGATGCAAGACATACGCGGGGAGGATTAATGTCTTCTCAGTGTTCGGAAGATAGGGCAGAATCCTGGAGCGCCCCCTGCCACTTTCCGGTCAATTGCGCAGGTCGGTCAGGAAAGGCGTCATTCCCCCAGGATTTCTCAATGAGCAGGCAACATTGGTTCCGGGCACTGGACCCCGGGTAACAAGCTCGGGCAACAGCGGGGATTGAATTACCTGCAAAGTTACAATAGAGTACGGGATCCAAGGACGCTATACATGATCGGACTTTTTAAAATGGGCTCACTGAGCCGCTTTTGCTGCGAGAAGCTCTTTTAGCTAGACACGTCCAAAAATAGATATGCTGACGAAGGTTTTTCTTGGAAGTACGGGGTATAAAACATATAAGAGTCTCTGCTAAGAAAGCCTTGGACTGAAACGTTCTGATTTGATTGAGACAAATTTCCCCGGTGGTCTTTGACGTGTGACTCTCTTAGTTTTCTGAACCAGCCTTCCGTCAAATCGCGCAACACCTCAAAGCAGCTTGTGGTCCGCTCAAGGAACGGCTGCGGAGCTTTGGATTCAAGTTTGTCTGCCTTTCGGTTCGGCGGATTGCCTTGCTTTCAAAACATTTGTTGTGGCTGATTGTCCAGATATGACGAAGAATTCGCTCGAGTCGCATCTTGAAGAACACGGCTGCGAAAGCTAAAAACAGTGTCCCGGTTTGCAACCGAGCGGCAGAGGTTGTGTACTGGAAAAGAACTCCGCAGCTCTGGACTGTAGCTCCGTTGCCAGCATCCAATTTTTTTCAGGTCGGGCTTCTGCTAATCGTTCGAACTGCCAGGTTGGAAAATAGCGCGCCCCTAAAAATGCAAAAGTAAATCAAGCGAAGATAATCAAAAGAGCGGAGAGGGATGCAGACGTTGATCCGCTAGTAGGTGGGCCACTATTTTGCTTCGGAGAGCTGCCGGCTGTGCGGCGGAGATGACCAGGGCGGCGGAACGGAATAAAAAGCTTGCCCGCGCCGGGAGCTGGAAACGCGGACGGGCCGTCAAGGCGTGGACGGAAGACGAGATAGAAAAAGCAAGGCCCAGAATCTGCTTGGAATTGAAAAGAAAAGTCGTAGGGGAGTCCGGCGGACTAAACGAAACGGGACGAAAACAAGAAGGCTCCGGGTCGCGCGGACAGGCGAGCTGCGGAACGGAAACGGAACAAATGCAGAAGGGGAGCGGGGTACTATCGTTTGATAATTGAACCAGATAGCGAACGGAATAAGGGATGGCACTGACTCATACCAAACCAAGAACTGAAGTGGATACGCAACAAACCAGTAATCGACAGTAATCGACGAGCCGTGGGTCCTCATTTTGCGGCGCCACGTCACTCACTTCGCGCACGTGGCGGCCGCGAACCCCCTTCGCAGCTTTCTGGATTTCGCCGTGCACAAAGAAGGTGGGCGGCCTGCTCCCCCTCTGTCAACAATTCTTGATGTTGTGAAGAAGGAAGAAGAACCGATTGTGAAGGCTGGGGCCCACGAAACTGGTAAAAGCGGCTTGTTCCTAACCTCTGTTTCATTTCAAAGACTTATCGTGACGCTCTGCCGCCTTTTGCGCTTTATTCGGTCGCCTGCCACGGCTTTGCCAGCGTCGCTCTTGAGCTGTCATTGAGATGTCATCATCATCATTCGCAAGTCTTTGAGTAAACCTACCGAAACACTACCTGTGAAATTAATAATCTTCTCAATAAGGATTCTAGCTACGTCGTGTGCTGGTTAAGTTCCTTAACTTTTGAGAAGGTGATTTGTGCTCCTATCCACTGGCAGTATTGTCTAATCAACTTTGGTGATTTTCAGGGAAGTCCGGGAAGTGAGTCAAGCTGCCGCCGCGATTCCAGTGATAACTTGGATGTTCTGCATCTTCTGCACGGTGATCACAAGCCTTTCTGCTTTTCCGAAAACTTCACATGCCGCCAGCAGCCGAGCGGACGACATGACGCTTCCAGCGTTACCCCGCTTCGCCGGCCCTGCGTCAGGTGCGCGGTCGAGACGCGTGCCGCCCTTTCCATCAGCCAGTGTCATCGGTACGGGGACCCGGCTACAGCTTGCCGGGCAGTGCAGCTGCCCCTTTAAATCTTGCCTTGTCAGTTTACGTCCCGTCTTCAGAGTCAGCGAGCGCGCGCAACTTGGTGCTGCCCGATGAGAACATCCGGGCACTTTGGGAGAGGCGCAAGCAGTCTGCGCAGTTGCGCATCGATGTTGGCGGCGCTTTCGAGCGCTCCCCACCAGGCAAGTCTGTAGGCCCCTGCGCAGACCGCGGAGAACCGTGACGCGTTGCTGCCGGTCGATTGGGTTTGGTGGGCAACGAGGCGATTGCGTCAGGCAAAGCAGCCCTGGGCAATCACTGAACCTCTGCTACGAAAAGCAAGGAAGATTGTTGCTTGGTCAGCCAGCCCCGGGCGACTCTGCGGCCCCTTTCACGGGCGGGAAGGAGGCGTCGGTGCCCGGTAAGGCAGATTGATTGCGACCGGGGCGGGCGGGAAGGTTTTGGCGATACCCCTTGGAATCAGCTTGGGAACAGTCCGAGCACCCTGCAGCTGCGCGCGGGCGCGGCGCTGCCCAGTTGCGCGGGCAATTCTTAGAGGCGACCAGTAGTAGCGAGGGATATGCTTGTGCCCGGTGCATAACGTGGACTCCATTTTATGGAGAGCGGCTGAAAAGGGAGTTCGAATACGTGGTACCTAGTTCAGCCGTCCGTGTTTTTTTTGGTGAATGGGCGCGATACCAATGAAGCCCAGCCGTTACAAAGAAAAGGTAGGCCCAACTCAAGTCAGACAAAGATCTGATTCCTTGGTTTACATCGATTGGGTTCGTGGCAAAGGGTTGTCTAGAGGTGTCGCCGCGAAGGAGTTGGAATGCAACAGACCGATGCGGCTGGCGAAGACCTTTGCGATAAAGTGATGCAAAGGGAGATGAGCTTGTGCTCTCTCAGTCCTTTGGAATGTCTAGAGTCGGGGCATACTACCTGTCATTGTGCTGTTCCTTTTCGGGATTAGGCATTAAGGCATTCAGGAATCCTTGCCAGGGAGCAAGGACAATCGGTCCTGATTCTAGCACTCTCTGGTTTTGTCTCTTTGTTTCGTCATCGATCAAAGCCAGAAAAGTTATTTTTGCTAATCCAAATTGCCACATACTTGCTCGCCGTTTTGCCTTCGTAACGTGGAGTTTCTGCGCGAGCTGAAGTCTTACTCACCCTTGCACTGGGTCAATGCTCAAGCGGACGGATACTTTCAGTCCCGCATGACGTGCGCAATATGCTGTTGGACGGCCGCATATGTGCGAGCAGTACGGCCCCGATAACGAAGGCCCTGCTCTTTAATAAGAGAAAAAGTATCTGGGCCCAGAAACGGTATCTACGCTCAGAGCGAATGCTCGTGAAAAGATGATGATATTGCGGAACGCTTAGGAAATCAAGCGACAGAACAATGAGCTGAACTTCATCTCGACTCCCGTCGTTTGGTCCCTTGCAGTCTTCCACACAGGCAGAAGTCACAGCAGAGAGCGACAGATGATACGCTGCGTAAGTTAGAGCAGGCCAAAGTCTCTCAACGAAAACGGGGAACATCTGACCCTCATCTGACTGTTTTTCAATGGTGCATACTGGCAACTGGTGTGACGTCTAAGTCCAATTGCGTTTATCTGTTGTTAATCAGAGTTTTACGGCACCTCTAAGCACTTCCAGAAACGGTCGATCCTGTTTCCAAGCATCGTCAACAATTGAAGAAAGCGTCTAAATCAAACTTCCTCCGGACATCCATTTGACAGATGGACGTGGCGGCGCGCAAAAGCGTATGCTGAACTGATGCTGAAATGCTGCCGATGCCTCTTTTTGAGGGTCCCCAGCCATGCGGGTCTCCCAACCACTCGACCATTTTTTGCATTGCGCGGGCATTGTTCCTGAGGGTTACTTTCGTAAGACCGGCCCATGTGCGCGCGTTGCGGCGCGCTTCAAGCTTCAGTAACCAGGCCTTCGTTGTAGTAATGTCTGCGGCGACGAATTCTCAGAGCGTGGGGCATCTTTCATTCCTCGGCAATCTGCCTATCAACTCCATTGGGTAATATAAGCTTGGGGAAATGGGATCAGCCCTAGCTGTAGTGAAGGCGACCGCCAGCCGCCGCGCGAGCGCACCGTGTACCCATTGCCGCCGCGCGGCCGCGGTACGTAGCTGCCGGCCAGTCTGAGCGGCGGCCGCGCGAGTCCCACGACGCAGGGTTCCAAGAGGGTTTTGTGTTTGGAGGTTGGATTTCTGCTTGTGTCAGCAATTCTTGAGCTACTCTTCTCCAACAACATCACGATTCACGTCTCTCATGCATTCTCATTTCTCTCTGGCGAGGCGAGGATGCCGCAAAAATGGTGGTGAAGAAACCAATGAACTCCGCTGCGAGCTAATCTTATCTCAGCTAGATGCAATTACTACTAATTGCTATTGACCTTGAATCACTGCTTCCCTTGAATCACCACAGCGGTGACTCGGAAGTCCTGAGCTGGATTTCTGCTGCTGAGCGGTCCTAGCAGCCATGGCGATGGCATCAGTGGGGATTCACAATGGGCAACAGCAGGTGAGGTTAGCTGCAATATGCCTCGCATTGAGAACAGACGTTTTTAGGGGGTATGTCTCTGATGCAATTGCAATGTAACTAAATGTATTAGGAATCGAACTGACAGTTCGGGGCGCCGCTGTGCAGGACTTGGTCAGCCCATCTAAAAAGGTCAGGGGCCCAGGTGAGAACCCTCATTTCAAGCTGGCTTGAAATTCCAGAGTTCTTGTGGCTTTTCTGTCGGTTCCTGCAGAATTGCACTCTTCCATGTGACAATTGCCAAAGGTATACCTTGGGGCGAATTCCGCAAGTCCAAGTGATGGACACTGCCTTTAGGAGTTGAAAATGGTTTAACCTCTTTCCCAGAGAGTAACCAGGTGGTTTCCAGGAGTAACCAGGTGGTATATTCTTGCAGGCTTGGGCAATGGGCCATCGTCTGAGGGCGACTGGCAGTGTTCGGAGTGTGGGAACATCAACTTCAGCTTTCGAACCACCTGCAATATGAGGAAGTGCGGGGCGCCGAAGCCAGGGACAGTACCTCAGGTCAGTTTTGCGTCTATGCCCAGCCATTTCCTCTTGCAACAATTCCCCAGTTGGTTGTTGATTCCATGTTTGTTGAAGAGAGGCTGGGTTCATGTCTAGGGTTCTCTTGGCATAGAAAAAGTGGTCAATCCAGGCGTTTAACAAGGAAGGCCTTCACTTGGTAAATGAAAAGCCAGTCTGATATTAGACAGCTAATGGCGCTTCTAGCTCATATGTCCCTGATTGGTCAGTTGAATTTGTTTACCTTGAGCTCTGTGCTTCAAGCCACTTCTTTTCTGCACTCTCAAACGCATATGAATGCTTCCAGTCAGCTGATCGTGCTATTAAGTTTTAGTGTGAGTATCTCTACTTTGTTCGAGTCTCACCCTGCTGGTCAAAGGTCTATTGTTCTTTTCGCAGACTGGTGTGCGACCTTTTTCTGGTTGATTTACCGAGCAGAAAGCAGAAATCTGCTCAATTTCTGATTTCTCTCTGTTTTCTTTGGGCTGGATTTCGGGTGCGACCCAAGAAGAGAAAGCTTTCAAGACCACTATTTTCTGAGAGCCCATTGTGTTGTCTAGTCAGCTAGCGGCGTCCATTTGAGTCCATTACATGGGTGTGTGTTGATTGTCGTTCCGTGCAAACCACACTCTTACCTTCTTTCTCTCTCCATTGCAGCAAGCCCCCTATTTCGATCAGAGCCAGGCATATGCCGCAGCTGGAGGCCCTTTTGCGCAGCAGCGTTTTAACCAGCCGAACCAGGCTTTCGGCAACCCCATGGGCGCTTTCCAGAACCCCCGCTTCCAGAGCCCCTACTCCGGAGGGGCTGCTTTTGCCAATGGAAACGCCTTCAACAACGGGGGCGCCTATGCTAATGGAAACGCGTATGGGGGTGGGAATGGATTCGGTGCGAACGGGCACATGGGACTGCAGCTGCAGATTCCAGAGAACCAGTTCGCTGCAAACCCAACCGGCTTTGCATTCTCGCCCCAGCCGGCCTTCTCGCCCCAACCGGCTTTCTCGCCCCAGCCTGCGTTCTCCCCACAGCCGGGCTTCTCACCATCGCTTGGCGAGGACAATCGGAAGCGGCGGGGCGGACCGGGGGCAAAGACTGAGGGCGACTGGGAGGTGAGGAGCTGACAATCGCCGCTTGTGGGCCCCAAACAAGAGTTTGGCAACAGCCTATCACACTCTAGCAATGGTCCATCATCTAACAAGTGATGGACTGACCATTCTTTTGATTTCCTGTACCCTCTGGCGACTGTCTCTGTTTGAAGCTGCCGAGGTGGTTTTGTGCAATGAATGTCCAAGCTTGCTCTGCCTGCGGTCAGTGAAAGTTTTTGCAGGCTGAGGTTTTTATTGACTCTGGACTAGAGGAAGGTAGCCGCTGTTTGTGACAAAGAGCTTCTTTTCGGAATGCCCCTCTGTTTGCAATAGATCTGAGCTGCTTCTGGCATTTGCGAGTTTCCATCACACCTCGGTGATCACGCCTTGCTTAAGCTTTGGCTCTGTACTTTGTTCGCGCCTTAACTTTTACCACAATTGTCAGGAGAAAAAGTAACTTGTACCCACGTCACCTAAGCTTCTTTTCTGCATACCTGCACAGTGCCCCCAGTGCCACAACACCAACTTCGCGTTCCGCACCACGTGCAACATGCGCCGTTGCGGAGCCCCTAGGCCTCAGGTAAGTCGTCTGGTAATGTCCACCGAGCCGCAATATACGTTTGGATGGGTGGTAAAAGGCTAAAACCCTCCGCATTTCTGCACCCATGCAGCCACTCTATGTGGATCTCGGTTGCCAGCCAAAGGATGCGCAGCGTCTTGGCATGAGTATTGTAAGCATGAGATGCCGGTTTCGCAAACCCATTCCGCCTTTGATTGTCCCTTTCGTCTGTTCATTTAGAGTGGAATGGAGACTGTCCTCTTGTAATCCCTTGCGGCACTTCGCTAGTGAAAGCCGCTACCTTGAAGAGTAGCAGAGAGGGCAACTTTCAGTACCTGATAAGATGATCTCGCTGAGGAGATTTCGAAGGCGTCACCTGCTTAACAAATGGGTCTTTTGATGTTGACTGACTCGTTGTTTCTTCTTTTGGCAGTTCGTGGGCGCACCCCCAACCATGCCAATAGTAGGAAGGCCCCAAGGTGAGGGACTCTCTGACCTGAGAAGCACCTGCCCCTTGACAACCGGAACCTTTTTGCATACAGGATTGTTCCTGGCTGCTAAACTCTGAATCACTATCACTGTTGACGTTCGGCTTCTAGTATCGAAAACGAATGTCCTCACTCATTCTGCTTCTAGTCTCGAAAACGAATGTCCTCACTCATTTCAACGGCAGATTACTTGTACAGCTTGCCGCTCCATGACGTTTTTGGTACTTTCTTGGCAAGGTCATCCCTGAAAACGTTTGACAACAGCCCCTTGTCCACTCCAAGTTCTGCTTCAGTTAATACGTGCGTGCTGAGCATATGCTATCGTGATTGCTCATCATACTTGCAGACTACTGCGCTTGCGCTGTGTCGACCGACTTTACACGTGACTGACTTCTGCAAGGTTCAAAGCCCTTTTGTCTGAGTACCGGTCTGCTCGCTCCTTCTGTCAAGCCTTCCAGAGGTTCTATGCTTTGCCCACCTAAAATTGCACCGAAAGCGTTTGCTTTTTTGAAAGACACTGTCACGACTCAACACCTCTCCGACACCTTCCACTGTGAATGCCGTGTGTTGGAGAAAGATGTGATAAACCCACTCTTATGAGTTGCATTCTTCTGTTGTTGTGCAGCTCCGGCCGCGGTCCCGGAGGGCTCGTGGAAATGCACTGCGTGCGGCAACGTGAACTATCCCTTCCGGACACACTGCAACAAGCGCACCTGCAATGCCGAGAAGCCGCCAGATGCGCCCCTCGTTGCTGCATAGGTGAGGCGGAAGCGCCCTTGATCTTGACGTAAGTGTGCTGCGTGGATTTTCTCCGGGTCGGGCTGCTTAAATGAAGCACCATAATAAGAATGTCACCATAGGCGCATCTTTCGTCATATAGTTGCAAACGCCCCACATCTGACACCGTTCCTTCGACGGCCCAAGGTTCCTGCTGATCGGAAAGTTCGGATTTCAAGCTGCTGACTGTTAACAGTCCAATTGGTTGCGCCGTTGTTGCTTTGCTGTCGGTTGCTGTCACGTCTGATCCAATCTTAAGTCTCCTAATGCGTCTACCCCACTGCCACCTCACCCCGTTTGAAACCTCAACATCGTCAGAGAGGTATTTAGTAGCAGCTTGCATCCACCGCCCGAGTCTAAAGCTTCCATCAGTCCAGGTCGTACGGTCGTCTGTGTCGGTCGATCGGGGTCCGGAGTCTGCTGCCACGTGTCAAGGGGGCGCATCCTCCGTGTCAAGTCGTCGTCCGGTCGGTCAGTTCGGGAGTCGTGCGCAGGCGTCGGAATGTGCCGCAGAGTGCCCAGAGAGATCACAGTAGAGAGCAGTAAAGTTCGGGATAGTAGTTGAAAGGCGGTGTGCCGCTGGAAGAGCATTATCGGAAGGCAGCTCGAGGATAAGGTAAATACCTTGCTCGAACACAGCCGACCTAAAAAGATGGGGAAGGCGTAGAAGATGAAACATAGTAGCACGTAATGATATAAGAACGGCCCGTGTTCTCTAAGATGAGAGCGTTATGTCTGTTATGATGTGTTTGTGCATTAGTTGGAAGAGTACTTGTAGCAAAGGGGTCAGTTGCTGCAGAGTGCTCTCACCTGCACGGTTTCCTGGCGAGGCTTCCTGTTGTGAGAGGTTTGCACAGGTTTGCACCGTCTCAGAGGCGACCTACCAGCAATCAAGAGGTAATTTGTATCCTAATATTCTTATCGACTTGCTTGATGAACGACCTAGCACGACTCAAAGATCCAGCTTCGGTGCACTATTGTAGAGGCACCTAGTATATGAGAGGGTGATGACATGCTGCGGGCGGGCCCAGAACCGCTGGAATTCTAGCTTGCTAAGCCTTGTAGCTTTGCCGGGCGCGTTGATTTGTCTGTGCGTGCAGATCCAAAGATTGTGCCAGGGTCTGAACTACAAACACATCTTGCAACATACTAAGCGCAAGTCACTGAGCGAAACGCCAATTGGCGTGGGCGCAGGCTTGACCGAACGGTCTTTCAGTTTCAATAGTTACTAATAACGCGCTGGGTCACTGTCATAAACCATGTACGTCATATGTTGTAGGATCGAACAATGCAAACATGCTTAAGGAGGCTCATGCATAAAACGTCAGAATATTAGTTCGTGAAGAAACTCACCGCAGTGACTGTTTATCTTGTCGCGAAATCCGCGCAAGTTTCAATATGCATTGAATGATCTGCAGGCATGGTGCGCTATGTGGGGCGTATAGGCTAGCCGCCTCGATCGTCCTATATGCCGTCTATATACCCGACAGGTATATAGTTACCTATCACTGCATGTGCGATGATCGACCGGACTGTCGGTCTTGATCGATGCATGCGATCAAGCTGGCCTAGCTAGTCATGATTGCAGCCGCGCCGCACATGCATGGTCACTCTACCATGATTCTCCAAGTCCGAATGTGCAGCTGGCTGGCCCGATGATTGAAACATGAGGTTCTGTCACTATACAAATGGCCGGAGGGATGCAGATTACATGCAAACATACGTCGGAGGCATGGGAATGATCCCGATTCAGTGAGTGAGTAAGTTGAGTCTTGCTATCACTCTACTACAAGTGCCAGTGCAGTATATGTGTGCGGGCCATGTTAGGGTAGTAACATCCCGGCAATATGACAATGGCACTGATGTTGGATACGTTTTCAATGATATCTTCCTTGTCGTCATTGCACGCTGTGGAAGCATTCTCAGCTTGAGCAGATCAAATCTATCAACGACAGCCTCGTGAACTGTAGTACTTCCGCAAAGGTTGAGGAGCCAGTAATGATAGGTTAGCGTCGAAGGTTTTGCTTTCAGTTGAGTTCAACCACTTGTGGACCTGATAATCCTAGGACAAACTATCACAAGGTGCAAGAGGAACAAACTACTAGATAAATATTATCAAGTGCACCTGCGTCTGGTAAATCAGCCGGAGAACGTTTAAATATAAGACAAATAAACAGCCACCAAAGGCCCCTACTATGTCAGAACCAGTACTCTTAACTTTAAGAAGCTGTTACCTTCCGCACCTTGAACACCTGAACTATTTGCTTCTTGCACACTTATCCGGATGTCTGCAAGGAGGAAACACAGCAGAACATGCCATCGTCGCAAAGATTTACAGGGGCACAGAACTTACAGCCCGATATGGAATCTTTACTTATTGCTCCTACTCCTTATGTACACAACATTATGTACACAACAAACATCAGAAACGCTTTTCTGAGCTGTTCATCATCAAACACAGCTGCCTAGGGCACCCCCGGAAACCTCTCCAATCTGATCCCGCCATTCGCAACCACCAGGCTCCCATACGCGCTGTCCCGAACCTCAGGGATGCTCAGTATGAGCTCGTCCATCATGTTGTTCATGTGAGCATCCACAATTTGGTCCCGTGTCACACCAAACGTTTTCACCGCCGATTGGTAAACCGCGTACACGGCCCGCTCTAGTTCCGGCGGGCCAGGGGGTATTCCAAACACCATGCAGGTCTCATGGTCTGGTAGACAGTCCTCTCGTATAGCTTTGATCAGCCTCTCTGCGGCAAAAGAGACCCCAAGGCGCACTGAAGCGACCTGTTCTGAGCTCGCAGGCCGAGGCTGCCTGGTAGAGAGAATTCTGCAATCATATCGGTGCGTCTCCCAGCCCTCCCGTTGATGCTCCTGCCCGCAGTAGAAGGCAGCTCTGCACCGGCTGCAGCGAATGTCTGTGCGCACCCCCACAGACCTGGCACGAATTGGCTGGGGGAGCTCGGGGGGCGCCGGGGGCACGTGTTGCAGGAAAGCCAGACAGAGTCATGGTCTCAAGTTCTGAAAGATGGTGGCTTCAGAATTGGAATCCAGGGCCTGCGCTTCGACTGGACGAGAAGCACTTTAAGTTTGAGATTGACCAGGCCCTAAGCTTGCCTCCTGCAAGCGCTATACCAAGTTTTCCTGTCGTGACGCCACAGAGGGCGCCATGGTTGACCCAGACGCATCTGAAAATTCCAACTTCAAGACAAGCTTCAACAGTTCAACTTCAAGTTCAGGTTCATGGGATTCGGAATCTGCAGGCTGCCCTGCCTTTCACCGGCCTTCTTGACACAATTGACAAACCTAGACCTACGACTGGATAAGACTGCACCAATAGTGTCACGGCTATGCGTTTGTGGAAGGGCGACGCTTTCTCCCCACAAACGGCACAGTATGTCGCCAGGGCAGGGATGACACCTTCCATCCCGTTGGCTCTGCCGACCCATTTTATACCGGGCTCGTGTGTGTGTGTTCTACTCGACTACACAAATGGAGAGGAAAAGTGATGCCAGTGGCATTGCGAAGAATGTCGCTTGATCCAGCTGAGAATCAACCGCTTTAGTAACAATAACAGCTAATTGTTATCTGCTATTGACAATTGCCCCGGGCATTCACGGCTAGTGGAAGGACATACGACGGGCGTCCTGCGGCCGCTCCTGAGGCCGATGGCCGCGGCGTGCCTTCGGAATTCTGCATCATTGGGGGGTGTGCTGTTCCAAGACTGCTCTTCTGCTGCCCTGAAAGCATCCCACCAAAGCCCTTTCTCACTCACCCCTCTTAGAGTGATTGGAACCGCCGCACCCTTGGCCCCTTCTTCGATTGCACCCTTCCAGTTGATCTCTGCTAGAGCTAATTTTCAACCAAAGATCAAGCTAGGATTTGGGAGGATGGAGCCACAGAAAGCAGACCAGCTTGCTGCACCGCAAGCAGTGGGGAATGCAGGGGCTGTAGCGGAGGAGAAGGTCGCTGACGTCATCGACGGCAAGGCGATCGCTGCGCAGCTGAGGAAGGAGATTGGACAGGGTGTGGAAAGCTTGAAGGCGGAGACAGGGAAGGTGGGGGCCTGCT